TGTGTCTCACATCAATACCCATCTATATTAATCCATGGAAAAGTTTCGTGAACTTTGGAATCAAGAAGTCACATGAAATGACGAATTATGTCCTTGCTTGAATTATTTTATAAAGTGAATGGAATTCTCGATCGTCAACCAAATCTTGCAACCATGCCCAAATGACTCTAGATGAACTCTACAACAAAAGTCATGAAAAGTTCATGTTGAGCAAATGCCAAGAAAATGCTTCAATGGATCACGAAGGATAATTTAAGCTTTATCGTGATCCTACTTTGGTCAAAATAGAACTATAGCTTCTGCACCTGTTTTAAGGTTGGACATTAAATAAAAGTTGAAGCTCATGTTATGTAGAAGAAACTTTGTTTTTGGAGTATACCATGGATCGGCACGGAACTAAGTCTAGCAGTGGCTCAAAGTTGGAATCTGCTGCTGATTTCAGCACTTAGAAATATTCTAAGTCTAGAAATTCATCGACCTCGGCATTGGCGTCTCGCATTCTCCAAAATTCGTTAAGCATCTCAAGTTGACCCCAAAATAAAAGTTGGAGCTAAGTTCATGGAGAAGATCATGTAAAGGGATGGCACTCGTTTGACCTTGTTATGACCCTCAATTTTGGAGTTTGTTAATCGTCGTCAATGCATTGACAATGCCACTTTGGAGATTAAATTACCCACTGTTATGTTGCTCAAATGACTGGAGTGCCTTAATGAAAAATGTAGAGCAGGTCGAGGTGAACAAACTTCGTTTTGGGCCCGAGGTCTAAATTGGCCCAGATCTAGCCCAATTCGACGCCCACAGAACAATGTTAGACGAAGAAACAACAAAGCTGGTTAGCAATGCAAGTACTGTCTTCTTCTCCGTGCCTGGTGTCGTCAAGACAACTCCATCTTGGACAATCAAATGGGTAGTGCAAGGTACTGTATCAGCTAAGTAAGGAGCTATAGAAAGCACGTCCCTAGTTTCGGTCCGTATCATTATGTATATGGTGCTATCAAAGGATTGTTCTAGATTCTAGGGGATGAAGCACAGAAGGGTAATCAGAGACGTTTCCTTATTATGTAGGACTGCCCCTCCACGAGAGTATGCATTGTGCCCTACAAAAATAGCCCACCAGTCCAATGCTTGCGCATCGTTGAGTTGGTGTCTAAAACGATGGTTGAAGTGTTACCAGAGAAGCACGTGAGGAAAACTCTAGCCTCCATCCTTAGCTAGGGAAAGGCTGCTGCTGCTATGAGAAAAGTTAGAGAGTGCAAAACACACACCTCAACGTGTGAAGCGAAGAAAAGGGAGAACACGAAATCTGTCCAGATTTTGTGGCACTAAACCGGTTATCGTCAAGCCGGCGATTAGTGACTCAAACGAAGTTGGATTGACCCCAAACTTGGTGATCTCATTCTTTGCTTAGGACCCTTCAATGCCTTAAGTTTGTTTGAGGATTGGTTGAGTGAAACATTGGATTTGAGAGATGTTTTGTCAATTCGGTTTGCTGTCATTTCAGAACAGAGCAGTTTTGGTAGATGAATTGTTTAGATGGTCAAACAGTGTCCGGTTGAGTTAAATTTTGGTGAGTAGTTAGAACACCCATGGATCTACATGGCCACCAAAATTTGTGCATATTGGAGCAGTAGTTTGTGAGATATGAATAGAAAACAAAAGGGTACAGAATCTGCAATTTCGCTGTGACTGCGATCATCCTTCACATGAGAAAGTTGTGTTTACAATTGATGCCAAGATTGGCAACATGATCATTGTCTTGCCATTAGATAATCCTTTATATGCCCTAGAGAAGACTCCTTGCACCCATTTTTGTGCCGTACCTTTGTCCTCTCGTATCGATAATAGTTGAGCAGTCAAGATGTTCTACAAGTCAACTTGTGCCGTTGCAAGTCGAAAATAGATTGGAAGGGTGTCAAACCGTAGATTTCAGGTCATGGATTGGAGATATTGATTGACCCTAGAATGGAAGCCTCGATGTCAAATATAGTTTAAGAAAGCTGGTTTTACTACGATGCAAGTCAACCCAACTTGCTGTGCAACTGCACCACGAAGGCAAATTGTACTTAACCTGCTTGGTAGTGAACTAGTCCCTAGTTTTGTGATTACTTGCAACTTGTGTTGTCCTCCAAGCCTCGCTAACATCCTTCTGCGTCAATGGTTCTCCAATGATGACATGCCTTTGGTATCTTATATGTGTTTTTACCCAAGAGGTTGCATCAGATTCAACCCAAATCATTGTTGCAACTTGGATACGAAGGCTCCCTAAGGAATGATCATCGAGAACGCTGAGCCAGCAGAGTCAGCTATTACGTTTACCACTCACTCGGCAGACTCAGACCATACAATATTGTTATCAGAGAAAGAGAATTGCACACATGGAACCATTGCAACGAGTATCCTTCGGAAGATTATGATCTAGTGCAAAGTCCATATGGTCTGTGCTGTATCCACTAGGGAAGTAGATGCTACAAGTATTTAGTCTACGTTTGTATAGCTCTTCGTACATCGAGGACGAAGTACGTAGGACAGTGCTATCTTGGATTCCTTCCAATGTAATAATGCTTTATGGACGCCAACAAAGGAAATTCTTCAGACAACAGCTTACGACGAAGAGCAAGTATCAGAAAGTGTCATGACCAAATTAGCCTCTCTGATACTCCGAAGTTAAGTAGCCTAATGCTATCACTGATGTTGGAAACTAGATGACAAGTTTCTCTTCCCTTAAAAGTCTTTCGTCCTGAATCTTGGGGCACGATTCTTTTAGGGGGGGAGGGCTGTAACACCCCAAGTGTTGCCACCAGTTAAGCAATGGGTTTGAGCTCAAACATGGCATATTAAGTGATGATGAAGATGTCAAGGTCAAACCTATGGAAATGAGCCCCAACCTAAACTTGGATATTGCACCCTTGCTTTACATATAGGCCCTTTTCAAGATATATGCTTGGCTAGTGTTATTGGAATATCTTCATGTGTCTCACATCAATACCTATCTATATTAATCCATGGAAAAGTTTCAGTGAAGTTTGGAATCAAGAAGTCACATGAAATGACGAGTTATGTCCTTGCTTGAATTATTTTATAAAGTGAATGGAGACATGTTTAAGTTTAAATATTTTGCTGTACAAATAGATCTATGCAGTTAGGTTCTTAATACTAGTTATGTCTTGTCTTTTTCATAACTACAGTTATTTTAGTTAAATCAATGTGAAATTTTTATGGAGTGTTACTGATGTGATTAGTGATGTCTGTTAAAAATTTCAGTAGTTTAGTCTTGATGGTTTAAGAGTTATAAAAATAACAAATTACTTGTGTTGCTTTGCTCCTATTCTGAATAGTCCTGCATGTTTGAATTAATTGGCTCAGTTTAGTTATGAATCATGACTTTATCATAATACGTGAGTTGTAGGTAACTTCCTAAGCTTTTTAAAAAAATTATGGTTCATGTTTGTTGGAGGTCTAGAAGTCTAGTTATGCTTCTCTGAAGTTCCTATCAGTTTTCTGTACCACTACTGTTGGGTTGCATTTGCAGTTTTGCTTGTGCAATTATTTTCGTGGTGTAAATGATGTTTGCTATGGTTGTAGTGAATACAAAAGTTGTAGAAAATTTCATGATCTTGCTTGTGTTCAAATTGTAAGGCCATAGGCCTGATAGTGTAGGAGTTACATGACTTTTAAGTCTTCTGTCAGGTTTTGATTGTATTCTGAGCAGATTTGAAAGATGCTAGTGTTTGATCTAGTTAGGATTTGAATGATCTTTTGGTGATAATAACAAAGTTGTAGATAATTCATGTATCTAGCTTCTGTTAAAATTTGGTGGTATTTGGTCTTGTGGTTTGTGAGTTATGCATGTTTAAAGTTGGGTTTTAGAAATGGCTGCTTTCTGTCAATTGTGGACCAGTTTCTGTAAATGATGCAAAGTACTTAAAATGGTTTCTTCATGATAGCTTATGCTTTTCGCAAACAAGTCAGCTAGCCCACTAAAGAAAGCCTTGCATAATCCTTAGTGTCATTTTATTTCTGGTTTATGACGGGTTAGTCTAGCTTAGTACATTCGAGTACTCAGGGTTTATCCCACCATGTTGCAGGTGGAGTTCTTGGCCTGTTGAAGATGGTGGCTAACCACCGGTGGGCTCGGTGATTCTATATTTACTTCTCATCTATATGCTTTTGTCTGAGGATGTCACTTATGCTAGCAATGTATTTGGAACTTATATTAATGTAATCATTTGAAAGCTATGTTGTTTTCAATAATTGGTTTTGAAACCCAAACTTGCACTATTATTTGTGAACCCATTTGTAATATTATTTCTGCTGCAACTCTACGTATGTGATGTGTATTTGCTTAATCACGCGATCTTGGTTGTGATGTTGATTTACCGAGGTCTTTCGAGACACTCGACGGACTACCGGGTTTATATAAGTGAAAGTATGCACGTGTCAACGTGTTAGCGGGGACAGCCGTACTTGATCTTGTATAAACTGGGCGGTTCTGTCACAGCTGGCATCAGTGCAAGATTAAGCATAATACTGTCATGTACATAGTTTGAAAAGCAAAGTTTTGGTTTTAAAAAGCTTATTTTAACGATCCTGACATATATGAAATGGAATAAAGATGGACCAAGCTACTTATGAATGTAACCACAATTAACATCACTACGGTCAAAGCATCGAACACGAAGTCAAAAGTGAATTACGAGTCAGACCAATCGAATCGAGCGAGCTCTTGCAATGATGTGGTGGTGAACCTCTCATTCGCCTTTCGCGTTTCTCGAACCATGCGAAGGTTTCATCACATGGCTCACCAACTTGATCTTCAGGGAACCTTATACTTATAAGAACAGGCCTGCAAAAGAAGTACGGTCTTGCTTTCCTTTGCCACTCAAGTACTGGGATTCGTTGCTTAGGCCCTTCTTCCTTCCCTAACCCAAAAATGAGTCCACCGCCCGCCTGGCACTATATGGGTATAGGTATGGCGCAGCCGCACCCTTGGTTTTAGGTGATTAACTATTGTAAGAAAAGGCTAGATCAAGAAAGGGGGTACTATGAGCCCTCCGCCCCACGCATCTAACTAGCTCACGTGGTTCACCGTCCCACCGACCACCCTTAGATAGAGTTATTATATATCGACTACAAATGCGCTTAAAGTGGGGGGTGGTGTCCCTATTTGGCTGGGCCTTCCCATAAGGCCCCCACCATCGGGCATAAGCGCCTCTTGCTACCCATATGGGCATTGCCTTAGTCTTGTTTTCCCAGATCGCTTCCCACCCTGTCATGTTCAAGGATCTCCCTCAATCGTATCGATCGAAAAGTGTAGCCCCCAACCGATGGGAGTTGTTACGCCTAGTATGTCCCCCTGATTCCCACATGCTATGATACCCTAGGGTGGGTAGGAGCGGTCGAGTCCTCAGATTACCACGGAACAACTGCAGCGTCTGGATCAGATCTATCTACTCACCTATCATCCGTGACTTCATGGTCATCAAAGAAGCCCCAAGAAGCATCAAACATTTTGATGAGATCCATGGAGCTATTCGAGATAGGAAGCACTAGCTTCAGGTGACTTCATAAAAAGCAATCAAAATAAGATTGAAGAAAATGAAATGCACGGTGGTCATTATAGCGGTTCCTAGATCCTAGAAAACGTCTAAAATCAGCGCTATGGAGTCGTAATGAACCCACCAATTATATCGTAAATTAAGTAAGAAAATCATCCACCGAAGTGTATGATTGAGCAAACTTAAGCCCGTATAACTCCGGTGAGTCCAGTGAAATCACGAAGGATTTCAAACCAACTCAGTCCGGCCATGATCGTAATAAGTTTAGCTGGTCACCAATCACATATTACATAAAAGTTTGCATAATGTATACATCAGAGTTTAAACATAGTACAAAACAAGTTCTGAATAAAAAGCATGGAAGTCATTTGTTTAAAACCACACACTCACACGGAGTTCAAATATAGTGCCTCCGATGAGATCATTCCAACAAAAAGCATTAGATTTGATTAGAGTACGCAGAATGTAATTTCCAAATTTAAATTTCCTACTACCGACATAACCGAAAAATAAATGACACCAAGGATT